CATAACCTATAGCAATATAGGTAGCTATGTTTAGCAAGATAGGATAACGAGACTGTCGCTTAGGCTAATAACTAGAGCCCTGCAACATAGGCATTATAGAAGTGTGACATAAACAATGTGCTATACGAGGTTAATAATCTATCTACTCTATAGAAGGAGGCCTCTTATATAGGCTCAAAACTGCCCTATAGGTATAGGGCCGGTTACTAGCTAATACTAGGGCTGCAGCTAATAAGGAACTAGGCTAGATTATGCCTTTAGCTAGTTGTTCGTCTATCTACTTCTTAATAATATTATTCTTACGGGTCGAGAGTAGGTACGGTCGCTTAAAAGGAGGTTCGGCGCCTTCCTTTAAATAGATCTTATAGTCGATACCTAGACGATACGGCGGCAGTGCGTTAGCAGCGTCACGCGAGAAGGTCTAAAGGTGTCTAATAAGTAATAATAGTACTAAGGCAGGAGGCTACGAGGGTCCTTGTCCTTATATATTGTTATTGCTTTATTATAGTCTTCCGTCGTAATAGTACAAGCTTGCAATTAATCGTTATAGCTATTCTAAGGAGGTGTAAGCTATAATATAATAACGTCTGTATTAGGCCTATAGGCAAGTAGGCTAAGCGCATACGCAGAGATCTCTAGTATCTCGGGATTATCGAGTTAGTAATATTTATATTAAATAGCTAATAATGGCAGTAGTAGCGGTACTACTAGTAGATTCGGTAGGTTCTACTACTAGTCTCGTAAGGCCGGATTGTCTTAAAATAGGCTAGTAGTCTCATCTTCGACGAACAGCCCTAGCGGTAGTCTAAGGATTTTATAAGGGGTAAGGGACGGTATAGGTATATAGTTTAGTAACTAAGATTATACGATGCGACCTGCGTCGTTATATATAGATCTATAGTGCGGAGAACTAAAGGCGATGCGTCCCGTAGCGAAGTATATAAATAGTTAGTATAAGGCGAACTAAGGAAGTCCGAGGATAATATTATACTAGATATCTGTAATAAAGGCGATAACCTATTCGCAATAACTATTAATATTAAGGTTAAGATATATACCGTAAGTAATACGGTTAGCTATAGTCTACCTATTTACAAGACCTAAGAAACGAGACCGGGAGAGAGGTATAAATAGCAATTTAAGCGCGCAAGTAGTAGCAGTCTTAACGAAGATAGAAGTAGCGCCGGGATCGAGGAAGGAACAGGTCTTATAGTTATTATTAACTCTAGATTAGAGGACTATATAAGGCTAGATATCTAGAGTTATAGGATCTCTAGAAGAGACGGAAGTAGCCGATACCGATAATAAAGATGCTAAGGGTAATAATGCTTCCTAGGCTGCCTTTAATACTCGTAATTATTCGACGCTATTATATTGTCTACTAACTTTCTCGCCTAGGCAGCGGACGTACTATTTCCCTACTTAGAATCGGAGTCGTAGTAGCTATAATAATCTTTATTATTAGACGCTTCTACGTCGGCGTCTATACTAGAGGCATTAACTAGAGAGCCGTTATTATTAAAGCCGGTTATTAGGCAGAGGGGGTCCTTCGGTCGGTAGCCTACCTCGCGGTAACGGAAGCAACGATTCTCGCGTTAGTAACGAAGGCGCTTAGGGCTACCTATAGGACTAAGTAGAGGCAGGTTCTAGTACTTCTTAGGTAGCTGCTTGCGGGTAGAGGCGCTATTCGCACTAGTATAAGAGTTATTATTACCGCGCTAGTTGTTGCTATTGCTACTACTACCGTTATTATTAGAGCGGCGGGTACTAGCTAGCTTCTTGTCCTTGTCGCTATTACGAGGGAACTTCCGGTCGAGGTCGCGCTACTCGTCCTTAATCTCGTAGCACTTCTTAACTAATTTCTTAACAGTCTTAGGTATATTGTTCTTTAACTAGGCGTAGTACTTAAGGTTTAGCTTCTGCTTAAGCTAGTAGAACTCGACCTCGGGCGACTACTTAATACGTACGCGGAGGGTCTAGTAACGGTTATAGAACTCCGTAAAGTTCTTACCTTACTACTAAGTGTAGTAGGTTATGTTATTATAAGCCTTGCTATTACGGTTACGCTCGCTATAGTAGTTGTCTAGGAACTCGAGTAGCTCGTCTAAGTCTTCGAAGGGATCCTATAGCGTATCGCTACTAAGCTTAGAAGGGACCTAGGTTTCGATTATCTCCTATAGGTTACCCTTTAGGTAGCTATAGATATATATAAGCAGATCGTCTATACTACGGAACGTTATAATAGCGAGCTTGCTTTCGAGTTGTCGCTTCTAGCGTTGCAGTAGTAAAGAACTCTTATTGCTAAACTTCTTAGAGTTGTCGACAGCCTAATTAGTCTTAAAGGCCTTACCTAAGTTAGGGTCGAACTTAGTTACATCCGTAGCGTTAGTCTTATTAGTGCGGTATAACCGTCCGGAGCGACTAGAATAGCGATTAGGCGTGCGTCTATCGCTCTACTTGTCCTTCTTAGAAGACTTCTTCTTAGACTTGTTCTTCTTTCGACAGTCGTTATTAGTAGACTCGTCGTTAGTAGTACTATCTTTATCGTCGGACGAGGATAAAGAGGAGGATAATAAATTAGGAGGTAAGAGAGAGCGTCTACGACGCTAGCGCCGCTCCTTGTCCTTATTCTTATCCTTGCGAGATAGCAAGCGAGGAGAGCGTAATCGTAAATAGGCACTATTATAGCGACGACGGTCTACCGATCTAGAGCGTAAGGAGTTAAAGTAGATATACTTAGAGCGGTTACGGTTATAGTCGGTTATCTTCTTAATCTTAGCCTCGAGCTCTTTAATCTTACGCTTTAGGTTAGCCTTAGTGCCTTCTAGCTAAGCATTCTAAGACTTATTAACCTTAGCTCGGTTAATCTTAGCGTTACGTTCTACTCGGAGGCGCTTATAAGCTAAGTTTAGTTCCTTAAGCTTTTTACTTGCCGCGGCATACTTAGCTTCGGCCTTCTTAGTCTTCTAGTACTAGTTATCGGCCTAGTCTATGTATTTCTTAGTAACCGTAGTAGCGGGTTCCTTGCTAGCGAGGTCTTTAAGTCGTTCCTTTAATTCGATAACCGCTTTCTCCTTATTAGCGATCTCTTAAGCAAGGTAGGCGGACTTCTCGTTAGACAGGTTATACTGCTTATATATAATGTTAATATAACGGAGAGCCCGGAGGTAGTTATAGTAGATGCTCGTAATTAGGGCGTAGAAAGTCTTTAGGTTATCGTTAACGAGCTTCTCGAAATCGGTAGAGTCGAGCCTATTAATATCCTTAACCTAGAATTTCTTATACTAGAGGGAAGGTACAGTATCGAGATTATCTAGATCCGGGTCCTCGCGCTTAGTATTCTTATCCTCGAGGAGGATATAGTCTTTCTTAGCCTCGGAGTCGGTACTAATCTTCTCGAAGAACTAGGTTAAGTCGATACGATCTAGGTTACCTTCCTTAGCTACTTATTAGACGGCTTAGGCTTCCTTACCTAGTTGCTTCTCTTCTTCGACGATCTAGATAAGCCGATGTCCTTCTCCTAGTATATCCCGGACCTAGTCGGCGTAGCGACCTTGTATCTAGGTATTACCGAACTTAAGGAGATCCTTAGGGAGGATAGACGTACGTACGCTTAAGAGCTTGCTATAGCCGGAGAGTCGAGCTATAGCTATAGGTTAGAGGTACGTCGGAAGTCCGAAGATCTACGAGATTATATAAAGAGAAGAAGAGGAAGAACGAGTGCTATACTAAACGATTTAGTAGGGGAACGAGGGGACTAAGTAACTAAGTAACTGCTAAGCGGCTTAGTAAGGGGTTAAGGGACGGAGAAATCGTATAGTAATCGACTACGAAGGAGATCGTCTAGACTTTAATAGCGGATCCGATTGCTAGGTCCTTAACTACTCGGCGGTTAGAGGTTTTAGTAAACTCGATAGTATTACGTCGGTTGCGAACGTATAGGAAGACGTATAGAAGTAATAGGTATCTATAGTACTAGCGGCTAGCGCGCTCTTCTAAGTTTAGTTATTATATTACAATGCTAGCGAGGCCTCGTATAATCGTAAAGACTTTACGGCGCTTAACGCAGGTTTGTAAAAGCGTAATCTAACGCTCGTACTCGTAACTTATATATTGTAATCGTAAGGAGGTATAGACTCTAAACACCTAAGTGCCGTATAGAAGGCGTTATATCGTAAGAATCGTAGAAGTCGTAAAGTCGGGGTAGATACGTCGCGCGTCTCGCGTAGTATAGTACGCTCGTACTCGTAGTAGTAACTAGATAGAGTACGATAAAGTGTCGCGGTAGGAACGAGTAGACGATTTAGTAGACAAGTTGTCGTATAGTTCTACGAAGAGTTGCTAAGAGAGACACGACTATATCGGCTTCCTTATCGATAAGAAGCGTAAAAGTTAGGGTGTGTTTATAACATACTATATATACTTAACTCTTCTTAACCCCTTATTCCTATATATATACTTTCTATAGATTATCTACCTTACTAATTAACTCCGACTCTACTTTCTCTCTCTAGTACGAATTTCTTTTTATAAAGTAATTTATTCTACTATAACTGTCTTTAAGTCCTTCTACTAGCTAGCCTATTCTAATGCCTAAGACCTTATATAATTTACTCCGTTAGACCTAAATTTTTAAATTTTAATACTTATAGTATAGTAATAATTATTAGTAGTAGCGTCGGTCGTTTAGTTTTTATACGAGATAATATCCTTCCTTAGGCTTTTCTTCCTTCTTATTCTATTTATAACCTAAGAAATTTAAGATTCTAAATTTTTTTTTAGTCTAGGATAAAGAGATTTAGTACTAATAAGAGAACTTGAAGATTTATAAGAAAAGGTTTTTAATAGTAATAGTTCGGTTAGATTAAAGAATATAATAATAATCCCCCTCCTCTAGATTATATTAATATAAAAGGAAATGTATAGCAATACTTCGCTACTTTTATATTACTAGACTAATAAGACTAGAAAATGCTAGCTAGCTAGCTACTATATAAGATTCAAATCGGCTCATCCCTCGGCTCAATCAAAACCTCATTCACAGCCACATACTCAGGCTGTTTGAGCGCAAAAACAATCGCACTCGCCACATCTGACGGCTCCAAAATTTTCGCTCCCGAAGATTTCCCGTAAGCCTCCATCGCTTCGGTATCGGTCGACATGCCCAAAAGTTCCGTGGCCGTATTCCCAGGTTGGATGGATGTGACACGCAAACCTTTGCCCGCGGTCTCGAGGCGAAGGGATTGGAGGGTGGCTTCGACGAAGAATTTGGAGGCCGAGTAGACGCCCAGCCCCGGGAAGACTTTGCGGCCTGCGTCGGAGGAGATGCTGATTATGTGGCCGGTGTGTCTTTGGAGCATGGGTGGGACGGTGGCGGAGAGGCAGTGGAGGAGGCCTTTGCAGTTGACGTCGACGGTGGTGTTCCATTCTTCGGTTTGGGCGTTGGATATCATGGTGAAGTACATTACGCCAGCGCAGGAGACTAAAATGTCGACGGGTCCTAGTTCTTTCTCGGCTGTTTTGAAGAGGTCGTCGACTTGGGATTTATTTGTTACGTCGGTTTGCTTCGTGATGACTTTGCCTTCTCGAACGACAAGACGTCGTTTGAGAGCCTCGAGGGCTTGGGTTCTGCGAGCTGCGAGGACGAGATGACAGCCCTCTACCGCCAGTGCGGCAGCAACGGCAGCGCCAATGCCTGATGAAGCACCTGTGATGACAGCCACACGTCCGGAAAGAATGCTCTTCCTGACCGATAATGCAGATCCGCCTTTAGCAGTGTGACGGAGAGGTGCTCGATTCATCCAGCCTCGTGCGAACCAATGTCTCGCATACGTCTCCAGGAGTACGCTGTCCACCTTCGGTCGTTCGACGATAGCGCGGAAAGGTCTAGTCTGAGCATTATTCAGGACGACTATGTCTCTGAGAAAGCCGACGCTAGGCATGCCACTGCGGAGGATGTCGACGGTGAAAGCGCCATCTCCGCCCTTTGCAGATCCTCGCCTCTCTGTCCAGAGCGCCACCCACTCATCAAATTCCATCGGTGCCGTGGGGTATCCCAATTCTGAAAAGTGCTGGAATACTGTGGCAGCCTCCACAGGATCCGGATCACCGAGGTGAAAGACAAGCTGCTTAGCGTGTGTTTGGTTGCCGAGATGCACGATGGCCTTGCTCACGAAGTCGACCGGAGTCATTTCTGCTCTCCAGCCTTTGACGTCGGGATAGTGTCCCAGATGAATCGACTCCACGAACAAAGCAGTGAGCAGATCCCAGGCATTGGCAGCGCCCGTAGAGCTATGTCCACTGATAGTTCCAGCACGCAAGATCCTGACCGGTAGGCCACGACGTCCGGCTTCAAGCACAAGCTGCTCAGCGGCCCATTTCGTCTGTCCATAGCCATCAGGAATCTTCTCGGGAACTGCATCGACATACAGCATAGCGTCCTCGGGCCACCCGTGGCCACTCTCCGAAGGCGGCAGAACACCGTTGGTAGAGACATACTGTACCGTGGCTCCATTGACACACGCCAGACGCAAGATTTCTCTAGTGCCCTGTACGTTCGTCCCACGTAGGGCGGCGTATGGGTACACGAGGTTCACAGCTGCTGCTGCGTGTACAATGACCTGGACTCGCTTTCCCAAATCTTCAAAAGCTTCAAGCGAGAGACCAAGACGCTTACGAGGTAGGTCACCGGGTAAGATCTCGACTCTTTCCATGATTGAATCTCTCCACAGGCCCGAGTCGATCAAGTTCTTCCGCAGCCTAGCCGTACATCCAGGTTTGTCATGTTCCGAAGGGTCTTGTGATCTTACAAGGCATATGATTTGTGCTGAAGTGCTTTCCAAAAGCTCGTTGAGCAGGAATGCACCAAGAAACCCGGTAGCTCCGGTGAGAAGCACTGTATGTGCATCCTTAAGCGCAGCAATCTTTGATGTCGGAGGCACTTCGATGTCTCGATCTAGTGCAGAGTCTCTACGTAGGGCAGCCGGCAAATCGGACTGTACGGCAGCGATGGAGCCATCTCGGACATCTCGAACAGCGTCCAGATGGCTTTCCAATGTTGCAGGCTCTGCCAGGCGACCGACTGGTATGCGGAATCCAAAGCGTCTGGACAGCTTCGAGGCCAGAGCAGCGAGCGAAAGTGAGTGTCCACCGAGATCGAAGAAGCTGTGCTCAGGTTTGAGAGCTTGCTGAGAGATACCGATCGTAGCGGCCCAGATCTCCGCGATGTCGTTGATGCTTATAGGGTCCTTTGGAGTAGCTGTTCCATTGGTCATCGCAGCCGCCGTTGGAGGTGATGGGAGGCCTTTCAGGTCGACTTTGCCGGAAACGCTGTGTGTAGGAAGCTGATCAAGTTCAACCCACAAGGATGGAATCATATATTGTGCAAGATAAGGCGAGATGATCTTTCGCGCCGTTGGACTATGGCCATGGTCATCGATGTCCACGAGAGGTAGGCTGGCATCGTCCCTGTCAGCAACCAGGTACGCGACGAGTTGTCGATCAAGCCCATCGCCATGTGCTACGACTGCGCAATGCCTGACGCGCAGATATTTTGTTATGGTGTCCTCGACCTTGGCCGGCACAACACTGTACCCCCTCAGCTTGATCATCGCTCCGGTCCGACCAGTAATTTCGAGCAGCCCATTGGCATGCAGAATGGCGAGATCACCAGTCCTGTACATTCGAGCATCCGGGTTGCCAGGATTGAAGGTGTCGGCGAGGAAAGCGTTGGCGGTAGTCTCAGGGCGATTGAGATAGCCACGAGCGAGCAGCGAACCACCTACATACAGCTCGCCACTCACTCCTGCCTCGACTTCTTTGCCTTCTTCATCGAGCACGTGAATGTGCTCAGGTTCCATTGCCCGCCCCACAGGGCAATACGTCGCTTGATCATCGAGCATTTCTCTGATATCGCCGCACGCAATCTCGTGCGTCTCACAAGCACTGTAGCAATTGAGGAGACGGACGCCAGGAAGCGCTTTCAATGCCCGTCGCGCCAGATCTGTTGTAACCACCTCGCCGTTGAGCCATAGAGTACGCAGATCGCCAAGTCTCGACCCAATATCGGGAAAGCGAGACAAGACAGCCGCGAGCAGAGTCGGTGTCATCAACGTTTCGGTGATCTTCTTAGAAGCGAGCATCTCGACCAATGCTACAGGATCGTAAGAAACCTCGTCTGGAATCGTGAGCGTAGTGGCGCCTCGCAGTAGCGGACGTAACATTTCCCACACGAAGAATACGTTGCACGCCACTCGGTCGCCCGGCTGAAGATCAGAAATGCTGAATCTGAGGTTGTACGAGCGCACTGACGCTCGATGAGGATTTGCGATGCCTTTTGGGTTGCCAGTGGTTCCGGAGGAGTATGCCACGAAGGCTAGACGTTCCAGGTCGTCTTCAGCAGAGCTTTCGTGGCCTTGATCATCGACTTTGGGCTCATCGACATTGACATGCCCATTCGTGAGGCCATCACCACAGCCATTTACTTGTTCGGTAGCAGGCTCATCGAGCACAATGAGGGACCTGCCTTCCTTGACCTTGCCAGTGGCAGCCTCGTTGGTGATGATGACCTTCGGATTTGCATCCTCGATCACATCGGCTAGCAGATCGGAAGGGTATGCGAGCTCCAGCACAAGATACGCGCCACCTGCTTGCAATGCTGCCAGGCAGGCTATCACATAGTCAGCACTTCTTGGGAGCAACACACCGACAAGAGCGTCTCGGCCCACGCCAATCTTCCGTAGTCGTTTGGCAAGCTCTTCAACCCGAGTAGCTAGCTCTTCGTATGTATACGTCGCCGACTCATCTTCGAGGGCAACGGCTTCAGGTGTTCTCTGCACCTGTTCTGCGAAGAGGGAACACAAGTCTTTTGATGTGTCAATACGAGACATGTTGGAAGCATAGCTTGCAAAATGACAAACGCAAGCAGGGGAGAGTGCTGTCGAAAATGATCGATAGTGGTGTCAAGTTTGCTGGAGCAAGCAGAACATGTGGTGTGATATGCCACTTATACATTACCATTGGGTGGGATAGACACATTCCTGTGACGCTGTGGCGACAGGGATATGTAGTAGTGTTTGCGATCTGGTCAATGAGCATGGACGTTGAGCGTGCAGTGCAGCTGAGCACTGCGGAGAGGCTCCTTTCCAAGGCAGAGACGCGGGTTGAGTGGTGCAGAGCTGTTGATGTCGGTGACAGCGATGGTGACTTCGGTAAGTATCGCGGAACGGAACGGCTGTGCTTGGCACGGGCGTGGGTCCTTTGGGATGGAGTCTTCCCACAACCTCCACTCTGGGGAGAGCTTTATCAAGTGCGCGAGTCGGCCGAATTACCTGAAAACATATGAAGCCTCTGCGGGATGGGTAGACTGCTGCATGAATGAGGTCGAAATAGAATAAGCCCTGCATGTCCGTGCCGCGACCAAGGCTGTCTCTGAGCCAGTCAAGATGGGCTGTATGGTCACTATGGTGGTTGTGGAGCCTAGCTTCGAAGGCGTGATCGAAGCTGTTGATGATGCCTGCGAGGACACGGTGCATATGTACACTTGTATGTAGTTCCATGCCGGCCTGACAACCCTTCGTCGGACGCGACCTTCTCTTCGCCATCATTTCCCGACGCCTGGTAAAGCCCTCTATTGCCTGGGAGACCCACTGCGACGTGTACGCTCAGTGCTAAAAGATGTCATCGGGAGCGGGACTCGGTCAGAACGCGGCTGCTCTCGAAGCAGTATTGGGCGCCATAGGAAGGGAGCTGGGTCCTCGAAGAGCGGTCGCCGGTAGGGTCGAAGTCGAGCAAAAGAGACAGTACAAGGTAGGAGGGCCAGCGCGCGCGAAGACGCTGCTTCCAGACACGATGGATAGGTCGCGATGGGCCTGAAGCGGATGCGGATTGAGAAGGGAGAAAGAGGTGCCGGGTCGCGCACATGTTGCTTACCCATGTCTCCATGTCTGCACGGGCACATGACATCGCTACCGTTGGATCAGTTCCGTCCGCGCTGTCTGGCCAAAGCCTTGAGCTCAATCGAGAGAAATGATATGTTTGGATTCATTGTGTCGTAAAGGTGAACAGATGAAGATTGGAATGAGAGTGTGATCAAGAACCACTCATGCATGCTGCTGCAGAGCTCCCTCAAGCCTGCCATTCGTGATCATTAAGATGCAGAGCCACATAGAAACCGATGATCGGGCTTGACATAGACCTCAATCATCAATCGCAGACAAATCGTACATTGCCCAAAAGTCTGCAAAATGGGAGATGTTGTTGTCGACATCCAGATATTTCTTGGCGTGTCAGGACTTTTGCATGGAGTCTTCGCTTCCAGGGTTCCTCGGCCTGCTGGAAGAGCTCGCGGCGATATAGCCGAGCGCTCCTCGCCGGTAGCTACATCACCTCTGCGAGTCGATCGCACATGCCGAAGGGGCCGTGGAGACATTGTCTGTAAGCGTATTTTGTAGTTGTCCGGTATCTTCTAGCAATTGACATTCAGATTCCTTCCTATACATCCCACTGGCGAGATCACCACGCACACTTGCAGCAAAAGACAACCCAACCCCACATCCATCCATTCATCATGCCAAAAGCGTTGACCATTGAGCATGTTGAAGGCAAGCCTGGAAAGGTCTACTATCCCCTGAAAGTCATTGAGCAGCCCGAGCCCACGCCGAAAGAAAACGACGTGGTGGTCAAGGTGATATCCGCCGCCCTAAACCATCGCGACCTCTTCATCCGTCAAGCTCTGTACGGCGGAATTGTGTGTGGAGTACCACTTTTGGCAGATGCTTGTGGGACCGTCATCAAGACCGGCGACTCTGCGGAGGCCAAAAAATGGCAAGGGAAGCGTGTCATCGTCAATCCTGGCCAGGGATGGAAAGATGACCCCCGTGGACCTGAGAGTCCCACGGGCTATGCGATCTTGGGTGGGACCAGGTTCAATCCGCGCGGCGCGGCGCAAGAGATGTTGTGCATCGATGCTGGGGAATTAGAAGAGGCGCCGAAACATTTGACGGCGAATGAAGCGGCGGCTCTTCCACTTGCTGGGATCACGGCGTGGAGGGCTACCATGATCAAGAGTGGGAATGCGATGCCGGGCAGAAACGTACTAGTCACAGGAATTGGTGGCGGTGTTGCTGTCATGTCATTGCTTTTGGCTGTTGCGTCTGGTGCGAATGTATATGTCAGCTCTGGCAGTCAAGAGAAGATCGACAAAGCGATAAGTCTTGGGGCAAAGGGAGGCGTTAATTACAAGGAGAAGGATTGGGACAAGAAGCTCAAGGAAATGCTTCCAAAAGACAGTAATAAGCTTGATGCCATCATTGATGGTGCTGGTGGTGATATTGCATTGAAAGGTGCAAAGCTGTTACGAGTGGGTACCATGCGGTCTACATGCCTGGTGAAGAATGCTAACAATCCCGGTTCGTTAGGAAGGAGGCATTATCGCTCAATATGGCATGACCGTGGGCCCTAAGATGGACTGGATCATGCCAGACGTGCTGAAGAATATCGAGCTACGCGGCAGCACAATGGGCTCTCGAAAGGAATTCGCCGATCTCGTCGCTTTCGTGAATGCGAAAGGGCTGAAGCCTCTCGTTTCGCGAGCAGTACAGGGCATCGACAATCTCAAGGACATCGAAACCTTGTTTGACGACATGAATAAGGGTTCGCAGCTGGGCAAACTGGTTATCGAGATATCCCCAGAGGATGCCAAGAGCAAGCTGTGAAGGCGTGCTCCCCCAATCCATGAATGATACAAATTTCCAAAAAAAAAACCCCCATCTCCTGCATTACATTGCGGTTCAGTCTGCCCAGCCATCGTTCACAGGAACGATGTCCGGCCGTTCGAGCAGCCGACGAAGCGAGGACGAGTACCTATTAGCATTGCTTCCTACCGGGATGCACCCCCCACTCACTGCATTGTGAAGCATGTCCTCGCCGGCTCGCCCTCGAATATCCCCGAGCAAAAGCGTGGAGGCAAGTTGCAACTGGCTCATCAAGGAGATATTTATTTATCCCCCATCGTATATCCTGATCCGCACAAGGCGACCCCAGTCCCTTCTCTCCCACTCATCACAAGTCTTCGGCACAACGTTTTGCTTTCTGCACAATCTGCTGACTCCGCGTGAGATGGGCTGACATCTGTAGAATCAAAGAGGTCCCGAACCTATAGAATATATGGTTGCCGAAAATTGCCCGTTGTAGTGCTGCGTTTCACGGCACTGATGTCGAGCAGGGTTCACCGTGGCTTTCTTTCATACCTACTGAACCTTCACCACTTCATCATCACAGCTCTTATCATATACATACATCCATTCGTGTTGATCATCGAGATGGGGGGGTTTTTTTTCTATTCTACCGTTGTTTGCTTTCATGATTCTCCATCGTTGTGGTACGTGGTGACTGCGAGGCGAAGGTCGGACTGCGTTGCGGTCTTGCAAGCGTCTACGATACTTGTTTTGTCGAGCACCTACGTCCGTGAGAGGATTCGAGATGGACGGACTAGAATCGAAGTGCTACGATGACGATGAAGGAAGCCCCTTGGATCTACGACTCTACCGGCGAGATGGATCAATATTTTCGGCAACATGATGCGATGAGACGCAGTAGTTTAGTTGGCCAGGCTTCCAGCCTAGCTGGAAACCTGACCAACTACTGTTCTCTTCAAGCAAGTTGAAAGAATAGTAAGTAAGAGGCGTAGAGAAAGGGGTGAAGTTGGTTCCTTATTTCCTTGCTGTCGTCCAAGACCACGAAAATTCTGCTCGCAGTGTAAGTGAGTATCATCCCAAACTCTCAACGCGCCGCTGTCTCAGAAGCCTCATTTTGAATTCTCTCCAATGCTCGTCTCTCCTCTCCTACCTCACCCACATCCTCATCGGTGATCCCCGTGACTTTCGTAAGAATTTGGGCGGCAAAGATATCACTGCTGACGTTCAGAGCGGTTCGGAATCGATCGATGAACCAGTCAATGGCCACGACGACCGCGTACATTCCCGTGATCGGGATCCCGACAGAGCCAGCGATCATGATGGTCAGGACGAGTGATGAAGAAGGAATTGGCGTGGTCGCAATGGAGGATAATACGGATAATAAGACGATGAGAGTGTAGTCTCCGGCATTGAGTGTTTGGCCTTGGGTCACGGCGAGGAAGACGACAACGACGGGGAAATAGATGGCAGTACTGCTGAACGTCAGCGTCGGGGGTCTTTCAAAACGACACTGTGTCGAGGCCTACCCGTCCATATTTATCAGAGCTCCGAGCGGCGCTGTGAACTTGTATACATTCTGGGGAATTTTGTTCTTCTCCAGACATCGCATGGTGACGGGCAAGGTAGCCGCTGAGCTGGCGGAGCCCCAGGCCGTAATCCAGGCTGGCGAGTGCTTCATCCACCAGGTGAATGGGTTCTTTCTGGTGAAAGCCACGAAAATGATCGGAAGGATGATGAAAAGATGAATGAACATTCCCGCGACCGAGGCACCGATCAATACTCCGAGGTTCTGTCCAATGTCTGCCACGTCGAGAGTGAGCAGATTGGAGAGAATCAGGAAGAAGACACCAATGGGCGCGAGCTTGATGAGGAATTCGATGATGACGAAGACGATTCGGTCGACCTCCTTGATGGCTCGCAGCAGTGACGACTTCTCCTCGGGACCTTTGATCAGACATCCGACGATTACTGCACTGACCAGAACCGCGAGGAGTTGATCCTCGGCAAGAGCTTTGACAACGTTCTGCGGGATGAATGATTCGGCAACCTCGACCACAATGTCGTGGGGTTTATTGCCCGATTGCTCATCGATCGTCTCTTGGGTCTCGGGTGTAATGCCGAGAGTATCCGGGTTGGCCGTCACCATTAGATTTGTCCACACCAGATCGACGAGGATTTGACTGTGGACAACAGCAAGAATTGTGGTGAGAACATAGTACGAGATGGTCCATTTGGCCAGCTTAGAGCCGTTCGCCGTCATGGCCTTGAGGTTCTGCACGGCCAGGATGATGGCCGTGATGATCAGAGGCAGGACTGCGAACATGTCAGCATGTCTCTCATTGCGAGACATGGTGTCCATCCTTCTGAGGCATTGCCTGCGTCCCGCAACGAGCTCTTCACGAACATGCCCCTGCCAAAAACTCACCTGTCGCTCTGAGAGCTCGTAACCACAAGGAACCTGGAATTTCCAGGATGGCTGGCACCGCTTCAGGAATGTCGTCGACGGTCGCAGAAAGCGCCAGACCAATAGCAATGGCGATTAACGCTGCAATGACAATCTGCAAAGCGGAACCGGGAGTCTTCAATGTTCGCCATGTACGCTGTGCGAGGGTTCCTTTCGGCGTGTCCAGTTCTGCGTCGGTTGTGCCTGGATTCAAGGTTGGGGATGATTCGCGCGTGACGCCCTCGTCCATGGCGGCCATGCGCTTCTCATCATTCTGCTCGTGCGGCATTTGAGCCATGGCGGAAGTCGGATGGTGGGTGGAAGAGATGCAACGGGCGCAAAGATTTCAGCATGCCATGCGGCTGAAGCGACCGGTCGACTTATCAAGAATTCCTGATCAGGACTGTTTGCCCAGTCCAAGGCCGAAAGCTGAGGCCGGCGTGAAGGTCGCATACTCACCAAGAGCCATGGCACTGGCAATGTACCCACCCCGCCAAGCACAGACAACGAAGTTTTCGAGAATACATGCCAAGCATCTTGGAATGCGGACGCTCGCTTGTGAACGACCAAGAGCAGGGTGGACTCGGTGGAGGCAGGACGGCTGCCACGAGGCTTGGACGTGCATGGACAAGAATCACGTCGCGTGCGTTGAGTGTTGGGTGAATTACGGCAGTCTACAGACAGCAGCGAGAAGAAACGGGACCCTGTACATGTGTGACGCGTTAGCTCAGTCACATAACAGGCACGTGACTTCTTAGCTTGAAGAATTTTCTACACTGTATTTTAGACTATAGAAGAGATAGAACATAGGCAATTAACGAAGCCAATTCAACCGCCGGCAATGCAGTATTACGTAAGTAATCTACTACGCTATACGTAATAGTTATAAGCCCGGATTTAATCCGCGGTGTTAGAGACTTCTATAGTAGGAAAGAATTTTCTATTCTACGAGACCTTTAACAATCGATAGTCTTAACGGCACTATAAGAAAACAACTATTTAAGCTTCTATAAGCCTCTATAATCGTTTCGAATTTAGTATATCCTTAATAGCCCTCTTATTAGCTAGTCGCCTCGGTAGTAGCAAGCTTATCATCCTTCGTAGACCTAATAATTAGGATCGATAGTTTAAGCAAACTAAGACATACCTAACTAGATATAAGACCTAGGTCCTTACTAACCTATATTCGACTAAGCTAACTAAACTAGTATAACCCCTTCTCCCGGAATTCGATATAGAACAACTTATAAGCAACCCCCTATATTAGGCTAGGGCAAAGCTTACTAAGGAACACTTTAATATAAGGAAGGCGGAGTTTAAACGCTTTAGAATAGCTCGTAATAAGACAATTAAATATCTAGCTACAACTATAGATATTCGCTATTATTTAGAGATTACTAATCCTAATATAGACAACGTAGCACTAACTATACGGCTTATTCTAACTCGATTAAAGAACAAGCTTATGCCTAATACTTAATAGCAAAGGACTGCCCTTAGTAAGGAGCTTTACCGCCTTGTAAATTCTAAGTAGGTAAAGGACCCCGAGCACTAGTATAAGGAATGGCTTGATCTTTATAAGACAATAAAACGCATACAATACCCGGAATTTGACAACTTAGTAACCTACCTATATACTACAGTTACAAATATAGATAAAACCTATAGCAAAGGGCTCTATATAATATACTAGGTAGGGCTATCGGTTAACAACTTCTATCAACTTATTAGTATAGTACGAGAATATGCCCGCAATATGCTAGGTACTTCTACGAAGAAGGGTTTATCTTTTAGTATTATCTACGAAGAAGGTAAAGCTAGTGCTAACGCTGCTCTATAAGCTATAGACGACAACGACAAACCTAATAAGAATAAGGGCCGTAGTAATAGTAGCAACCGTATACTAAAGACCTATACTAAACTTACTAGTATAGGAGAGAAGAAGGTATATAAGAACCGGGGCAAATGTACTATAGTAAACTATCGACTTCGAGAATAGGTTAAAGAGAAGGATAAGGACAATAAGTAGAAAGGAAAGCTAAAGTACTTTAAATCCTACCTACGTAAGAATAAGGGCTTCTACTTAAGACAGGCTAAGTTCTTTAAAGACCTACTAGCTATTAAGATTGCCTAGCAACACTATAGACTTTCGGCTAAAGATAGAGACGATACTAGAATAGGAAATGGATTAGACAAAGTCTCGCTAGCCTGCTTCTTTAAACCTAACACTCTAGACCTATTAGCCTTCGCCTTAGTTACCCTTGCACCAACCACCTATCTATTAATAGCTATAAGGGGCAAGAAATGGAATCCCTTTGTTAGCCTAATATACGATAGTAGGTCTAACTATAACATTGTCAACTGCCCTAGTCGCTTTAACTTTTAGGCAATGTTTATTCCTTCGCGAGCTACTATTACAATAGGAACTAGATATAACAAAGTTATCGCTATTAGAAGGGCATCCTTTACTATTAAGTTAGTAGTAGGTAAACCCCTAACTATTAAGCTAAAAGAGTGCCTCTATGTCCCTAATTTCTATACTAATATTATTAGAGGGGCATATAAGAAGGGTATATTAGCAGGTAGATAGGGTGGTAGTAGGTACGAGTAGTATTCGATAAGGATCTAGAAGGAGAGGGAGGAAGGCAGGCAAGTTGGCCTAACGCTAAGCGCTAAGCCCTACCTAAGGCACCGAGACCCCGGCTTTACTCGGCCTAACTATATGCCAATTACGTATAGCCTCTTTAGCCCTAATATACGCTTCCCTTCTAAAGGCCGCGCCCTCGTAGCCTATCAATTTCGACCTCTATTGCTGCTAACTTAGCAAGTCTAATAGACTGCTTAGCTCGCGCTAAATTGAACACTTAACTACCTAATTATGTAACTATATTAAACCTCACTTTCTAATACAACGTCTAACTCTAACTGCGCTATCCTTATATATAATAAAGTAAAGGGATATAAAGCTATAAGAATTGAGGGCTATTAACTAATTACAATACGAGCGCGCCTTCCCTACTATAATAGGTAGGCGTACGAGGTATTATAGTACTACCTCCGTTCTAAGTAATATCGTTCCGAGTTCTCTACGTCTACTCTAAAAGACCTAGAAATGTCCGCTCCGAGGGTTTGTCCGTTCCGAGGGTTGTTCTTATTATTACGAGGACTATTATTTACTATCGTAGTTTTACTAGCCCTAATTAGTTAGGTTTAGTAGCCTTCAATTGTTAATCTTATCTTATCTTTTAAAAAACATAGCTCGTCTAGTTTCTATAGGTAAAGGCTATTATAAGTACAGTAGTAGAGGTTCGCCTCGCTTAAAGGGTTAGATAGATCGAGGAGTAACCTATTGTCCGCAAGATCGACCCTAGCTAGCTTAGCTCTATAGTTTTGCCCTTAGTTAGTTAGTCTATTAGTCTACTTAATCTTTTAAGCGGCTTAAAGTTTTAACTTAGCCTCAAAGTTTTAATTAAACTTTTAACAGGTTCAAGCTTTAACTTAGTTAGTATAGCGCCTTAGGCTCGCAGTATAGGTAAGGTTATATCTATAGGCGTAGTAACAATAGTAGGTAATGTTAACAATAGCGGCGCTAGTCGTCTTAGCGCTAACTTTACCTCGCTTCTAATCTTCTTCTTTAACTAACAACAACTCGGTAATACCGTTACTAACATAGCTATATCCTTCCTTCCTTAACTAGCGATATACCCCGCAACACTGTTACTAATATAGCCGCGCCGGCCGCGCCGATTGCCTAGGCCTCGAGGCCTCGACGGAATAAGGGAACAAGAGGGGGACCTATAGGGCGCGTTAGTAAAGAGGTAGAGTCCTTAAAAGAGTAGGCAATTAGTTAACGCGTCGTAGCGCGCTTATTAATACTCGGTACGCGTTTACTATAGTAGTATAGTCTTATTGTCCTTTGTTACTAACAATTGCTTGCTTCTAATTAGTTAGCTAATAGTACCCCGGGGGTAGCATTAATCCTAGGCCTTAATAGTAACATTATAAGCTTTTAGCCTTCTTCTTATCCTTTACGCTAGTCTAATACTTATCTAACAACTCGGTTATGTCCTTAAAGGAGTTTTTAGCTTCCTATAAGTCCTATTCTAGTAAATAGCCTTACTATCTTAATAGGTACTCCTTCTTGCCTTGCCTAGTCCGATAGTTTAGGATACGTTCTATAGACTACAGTTCTTCGCTATTAGCTAAGACTTCTTCTAACTTAGTAGGCGCTTTATCGCCTTCGCGTTAGTAGTACGGTTTAAGGAGGGAGATATAGAAGGTATTATAGATAGTGTAATAAGGTAGAAGCTATAACTAGTAGGCCTAGCTATTGCCCTTCGGTTCTCGGATACGGAATAGCCTAATGTATCTTAGTGCGAGCTTAGGCCTTGTTTTGCCGTTAGGTAATAGGTGTTTGCGGATACGGAGGTTCTTAGTACTTAGTATAACTATGTCGCCTTGCTTGAAAGTTATTAGCGTATAGTGTTTGTTATAGTAGGCCTTCTAATATGCCTAGGCCTTTGCTAGTTTGTTAGCTATCTTAGCGTAAATCTCTCGCATCTTTTGAACCCTCTTAATAGCCGCTAGTGTCTTAGGTTAACCCGCTTCCCTTTCCTTACGCTCGGCCTCGAGCGATAGGTCTTGTAGTATAGTAGCGTTCTAGCCTATTATAGCTATATATAGTAATACCTTAGTTAATAAGTAGACACTATTATTATATACGAATTCTATAGGCTATAGGAGGTTAACCTAGTCGTTAGGGTTCTCGTTAATGTAACTGCGTAGGTGCTGCTATAGGGTAGCATTCTGCCTTTTAGTCTAACTATCTGTTTGTAGATAGAATGCTATAGACAGGCGATGCTTGAGTCTTAGCTGTAGGCAAATCTCACTCTAATAGTAAGATATAAATGTCGAGCCCTAGTCGGAGACTATCCCCTTAGGGGTTCCCTAATAGCTATAGAAGATGTTGTTCTATAACGACTTAGCTAGGTTAATAGCCGTCTAATCCTTTCGGGTAGGAATGTAACGAGCGCCCTTAGTAAACCAATCTACGACAACTAGGATAGTATTATATACATCCTTGCTACCCCTACGCTTAGCAGGCGGGAGGCCTGTAATAAAATCCATTGTAAGCTTAGCAAATGGCTTCTTTAGAATAGGGAGTAAAGACAACTCGCCAAATAGTAAGTGCTTTAGTACTTTAACTCGTTAATATACGGCATACGTGTTTACGTAGTCCTTTATGTCCCGCTTACTATTTAGCTAGTAGTATGTACGCGATAGTAGCTCGTGCGACCTCTCTATACTATAGTAACCGGCAAGCTTACTATTATAGTGTCGCTTAAGAAGCTCTTATCGGATCGAATATTTAGCGGGGATATAGTATCTGCCCTTAAACTTTAAATAACCTTTATTATCGATCGACTAGTTATTACTCTTACTAGATCGAGTCTTTCGCCTACTTACAAGCTTATCGATACGTTTAGTAGCAAAGGCGTCCCTCTACTAAGCCCGTAATAGCTTATCTATAAACGATTAACTATCCCTATTTGCAAGGTTATTTAATAGCACCCTCGCTATTAAACGAGGTACGTATTATATACATCTAATAGTACTAGCAGCCGGATTAACTATATTAGTGCTATCGCTGTTACTATATATTGCGATGTCGACTAGGGAGTTATTATAACTTCTCCTATCTATATCCTTAGCCCTTGCCTTAATACGCACTATTAATATAGCAAGAGTATTAATATACTTTAA